ATGATTTAAATCCTGATCTCGGACTTTGGTTACGTCTTTGGACACATGCATCACAACTCAGCATGCTTCTTTCTGGCCGAGTTGGTCTCCCCCCGCCAGCGAATCCGCCAACAATAGTGTTGAGCATGTGATGAGCTGTTTTAGTTTCATGTACTTCCTCCGTACCCTTCCCCTTTTTCTGGGAGGGTCCCTCCGAGTATGCATCCTCTCTCTGGGTATCTCTTTTTTCGGCCAGGGCTTTACCATCCTTCACATAAGTCAACAAATGCCCCCTCTATAATAATGCCTCAATTTCTTTTTTCAACTAATGACAATCATCAGTGTAGTATCCTCGGAGCCTGTGATAACTACACCAAGCCCCAACATCTTTTCCCATCACCGAATTAACCTTCTTCAAATGGGGCACTTCTGGGATTAGGTTGAGATGTCCAACTTCTTGTAGGATATCACCTCTCATGGTTTTAAGTGGCGTCAAATCTTTATTTGGATCGAAGGGTCGTCGGTTTGGCCTTTGATTCGCGCGCTCCCGGGGTTTGTCTCTTGGGGCATCCCGAGAAGACTCTGACCTCCTTCGCGACCCCTCTTCTATGGTATTATTTTTCTCATAAGTGTCCCTGGATCATTTCTCCCGATTACTTTCCTCACCCTTTATATAACACTCGGCTCTGGTGATGATCTCATATGTGTTGTACATCAGTTTCTGTGTCAGGGACTCGTTGAACTGCCCGACTCAGAGACCGTGCTGAAAAGACCCAACGAATAACTCTTGATTGGGATGTGAGATCTTTATGGTCACTTTGTTGAGTCGGGATAGGTATCCTCATAAAGGTTCTGGCCGCCCTGTCGGACATTGAACAAGGTGGTCGTTGAGACCTTGCGGTGTCTATTGGTTGAGAAATGTTGAACCAACTTCTTTGTCAAATATATGCAGCTCTCCACGGATAGTCTGGATAGGCTCATATACCATCTTAGAGCTACATCTTTGAAGGTGTCATCCATCAACTTACATTTCAGAGAGTTCGTAGGTCATATTATTACCATTTGATATTGATGGCAATAACATGCTCCCGAGGACCGGTTTTGCTGTCGTAAGTCGCTAGTGACGGAGATTTGAAATTCTCTGGGACCTGGTCGTCCCATATGGCTTGAGACAATGACTGAGGCTCTAGGAGATCCACTTCTGGATGTTCATCTCCCAAGCCTTTGAGTTGTAAGTCAGCTACACTGTCTTGTAAAGTTTTGTTCTGCTATCTGAGGGCCTCCACCATGGCCAACAATTGTGCCATGTCTGAAGGGTCTCCTTCAGACGACATTCTGGTGAATATATTTTGAGGTGTGGCCTAGGATAATTTTACTGTGGCTCCATGGTGGGTACCAATGTTATTGCGTAGGAACAATATATGGTTGACTTCCTTATAGGAATAAGGAGAGCCTTAAAGGTAGATTGTTGTCGTATATGTGGAGATTTGAGAGCTATGCTAATAGTGCGTATTGCCCAAGAAAATTATCTTGATATCACTCTGGTGAGAGCCCCTTATATATTATTCGTTTAGCATCATTTAAGAGCCTCAATCAAGGTATGGACCTTGGGCTTTGTAACTCCATAACAGTCGTTGTTACCATAAATGAAGGTGTTCAAAGCTGCATAACATTGGCTTTAATACGCCAACGACGGTTATAATCATTAATAAGTTGGGTTACTATCCGGTTTATGGGTAAGTAGGCTCCGGTTACTAGTGTCATCCGAGCTGGTAGTACATACGGGATACTATCCAGAGATGATGATCGCCTAGACTCTAAAGTTGAGTTGCACCTCCCCTCGGGTATGTCTTCCCCATTATGGGTGGGTTTACTAGTCTTGTCCTCTTTCCAGATGACTTCATAACCTGGTTGGGGATAATATTTCTGGGATGTACATATATCATTTGACTGGAGGTTACAAGTTGTTCGACCTAGTGAACAAGCAAGTAGTGATCAGCAGAGACATGATCATAGATGAGATTAAGGAATGGGATTGGACTGAAAATATAAACAAGGATTCAGTGAGAATCTTTTGTGAAGAACCATCCACTAAAGTCAAAGGAGAAGAAGTTCAATAGGAAGAAGTGAGAGCTGATGCAGGCCCAAGCAGACCTCAGAGAACTAGACACATGCCTGCAAGGTTGAAAGATTGTGTGATTACATCAGATGATATGATCGATAATGAAGGTGAGCTGGTACATTATGTTTTCTATGCTGATTTCGAATTTGTCAATATAATTGAGGCATTGAAAGATTAAAAGTAGGTGAAAGCAATAAATGAGAAATTGAAGTCTATCGAAGTCAATAACACTTGGTCACTTGTCGAATTGCCTCAAGGAAAGAATGCAATTGATGTCAAGTGGGTATACAATGTAAAGTTAAATCCAAAAGGGGAAGTAACTCAACCCAAGGCAAGACTTGTGGCAAAAGGATTTCTTCAGAAAGATAGAATCGACTTTGATGAAGTTTTTGCACTTGTTGCTAGGATCGAAACAATCAGGTTAGTTGTTGGTCTAGAAGAAATGAACAGTTGGTACATATGTCAGATGGACGTGAACTATGCACTCCTAAATGGTCCGTTAGATGAAGAAGTTTATGTTGCACAACTAGTTGGGTTTGTGAAACATGACGAAGAAAGAAAGGTGTACAGACTGAGTAAATCCATGTGTGGGCTTAAGCAAGCTCTAAGAGCTTGGAATAAGAATATTGACAGTTAGGAATTTGTGAAGTGCACAACTGAGCATGGAGTATATGTAAGAAGAAGCAATAGTGAATTGCTTGTACTATGTATCTATGTCGATGACTTGTTAAGAACAAGTAGTTGTAAGAAGGAGATCAAAGACTTCAAAGGTGATCTCAACAAGGAATTCGAAATGTTAGATCTAGAAAAAAATTCATATTTCCTTGGCATCTAATTCTAAAAGAGTAGTAGAGGTTTGATGATGCATCAAAGAAGATATGCAGGAGAAATTCTCAAGAGATTTGAGATGGAATGACGCAACTCGACTTCGACACCTGCTGAGTCAAGACTGCAACTGTCAAAAGACTCAGATGAAGATAATGTCGACCCAGCCTAATACAGAAGACTTATTGGGTCATTAAGATACCTTTGTCACACAAGGCCTGACTTAGAATACAATGTATGTATGTTGAGTATATTTATGCAGAAGCTAAAGGTATCACATCTAGCAGCAGTGAAGAGGGTACTAAGATATCTGAAAGGAACTCTCAAATATGGAATTTTGTTTTCTGCAGTCGATAAAAGAAAAGAATCCAAGTTAGTGGGATACACCCACTCAAGTTGGTGTAATGATGCTGAGGATCAAAAATCCACAACTGATTATGTGTTTATGCTAGGTGGTGCATCAATTGCTTGGAATTCGAGAAAAGAACCAGTAGCGGCATTATCGTTGTGTGAAGCAGAGTTCATAGCTTCTTCTCTTTGTGCATGTCAAGCAACATGGATAGTAAACTTGGTCGAAGATATTACATGAAGGAATCATGGAGAAATTACCATGAAGATTGACAGCGTCTCAACTATTAATCTAGAGAAGAATCTAATAGCACATGACAGAAGTAAGAACATCGAAATGAGGTTCCATTATCTTCGTGAGCAGGTAACATAAGTAAAGATGAACATGGAACACTGCAGAACTATGAATCAGATTGCAGACATCATGATGAAAGGTGTGCGGTCCGAAGTCTTTAGAAGAAAGAGCTATGATGAATATAGATAGCTTAAACACAATGAATTAGGTGGTGTATTGAGATTGTAATTCCTTGTGTCAAAAGTAGTATGTTGCTCGACACAAGGTGTTTCGAAAATAGCCTAGAGTGTATGTGTCAACTTAGTTTGTCAAAGTGTGTCGAAGTGTCAAAGTAGTTCGCTTGACACAGGATTTCGACTTAGGTCTAAAATAGTTATTTTGGGCTTTTATAGTTTTGGGCTTTGGCTTAGGGAGAAATCAAGCTCATTATAAATAGAGGGAGTAACCCCTATTTTTATAACAACTCATAGTATTTACATAATTTACAGTTGTAAGTGAATAAATTTTTTCAAAGTTTATTGACAAAGAGAAACTCTGCATAAATCACCATCTTCTTTATTTCTCATCTTTCATTCTTTTCATTGTTATTATGTAGTGATAGTAATCTTGTTCATCAAGATTGATTGAAATTCCTCATAGATTTGATGAATTTTCAACAAAAAGAAATGACTAGTCTTGTAAGACCACAAAAACATGGAAAAACAAATGGTTGTAAATATAATATATTATTTTATGCTTCTTATTTATTAGTATTTATTTTACAATTAATGACAATTAATAAAAAATATATTTAAAATTAAAAAAAGTTGTCTATTATTATTAAATAATTTTTTTAATTTTGTTATAAGATTCATAATTATTAATTTTTAAAAATTAAATCTTTTTAATATAATATTATAAATGAGTTGAAAGAAAGCTTGACATAATTTGACATTTCAAATGGCAAGCAAGTAAATAAAAAAAAAAACTTTTGTGCTTTAGTGTTATAAAGTAGGGTATTTATGAAAATGAGTTGGAAAGCATTGTAAATTTAGATTTTTTTAATAAAAAAGTGGGTTATTTATAAAAAAAACATATATATTTTAATTACCTATGATGCAACTTTTATAAATGACTATGATGAATTAACATTGTAATACTTTTTATACCGATAATGTATAAAAATTAAAATATAAAATATAAGTTTTTTATTTATATTTAACGAAATTAAATATAAAGTGTTTGAATTTTTTTTTTAAACTTAAATATTATTAATTTTTAAATAAAAGAAAAAAGTGTTCATTCAACAATTTACTTTTTAAATTTACAAAGCATTTATTTCTTCCATTATAAATTTATAAGAGTGTTCATTCAGAATTGTGTTATTCTCCATTCATCTCAAAACAAATCTCGTTTGTTATTTAAAAGAGAAAACGTAAGTCTCATAGCAGAATGGAGCATGAAAGTCACTCCTTTAATCATACTCGTTCGACACAACCAAACTCTAGTAAGTATTCTAGACTTCACAATTGAGTTTCTTAAATATATTCTATTGAATTCTTTATAGTTGTGTATTCTTGTTTCTAATTTCCTCCCTTTACAGCTGGTAATGGAACCACAAACATTGAAAACGCCAACAGTAACATGAACAACAATATTGGTACGAGAAATGAGAACCAACGTTTACAAGGAACAATGGACGAGGAAATGCATATGCCTATCAAGAGTGTGACAAAAATCATGCAGCAGGCTATTCCCTCGAATGGAAGAATCTCTAAGGATGCCAAGGAGTCAGTTCAATTGTGTGTGACTGAATTTATGAACATCATCACAAGTGAGGCTAATGAACGATGTAAGGCAGAGAGTCGTAAGATCATTACAGGTGAAGATTTAATATGGGCCATGAATAGGTTGGGCTTTGAGGACTATGTTGACCCTCTTCTTTTATACCATAAAAAATATATCAATCATGAGACTCAACTCAAGAGCATGTCGATTGAACATGAGTTCAACAAGGATGGGTCAGGTGCTAGTGGCTCCAACAATGATGGTGATAGTGGCCAAAATTGATATGCAATGCAGTTATGGGAATAAGAATAATTTTTTAATAATTCTGGTAGTGTTGGGGTTAATAAAATAGGACTTCAAATTTAATGATTTTATGGAATTGAAAGTTTGTAGGTTCTTTTTCTTTATGTTTATTTTTGTTTGGAATAATTATTTTATTTCATGTATGGAAAAACTCGAAAAGTATACAATTTAACTCTTGCTCTAATTTTAATTTCATTCATGTTTCATCCTTAAAATAATTATCAATCTAAATTACTTGTGTTAGTTTTCTCTATAAATTTTGGTTAATATTTTGGCCATAACTTGCTTAAACAACTGTTAATACTAAAGCACTAGAAAATCTCACTAGTTAAAGACTGATGTCCAGTAATCAAAAATAAGTAATATTTGTATCGTATCCACAGGGATTGATGTGATATCATTGTCATTCAATAATTAATAGGGTTTTAAGTAGAGAATCTTAAGATGTTATGACTGTAAAAGCAACGGAATGTAAAAACGATAATTGACAAATAAAATTTCAGAGATATGACAACTTGTTGGGATTGAGTTTCATCTACTGAATGTGTACATAGTTTACTAATCACTTATATATAACCTGAATATTAATCATTATCCTCGTGTATCGCTCACAATAATATTTATGTCTAAACTCCTGATGATATTTTTAACAGATTTTATAATCAACAATTTCTCAATCTATTAAACAATCAAGCGTAATTAAGATTTGATATTTGAGTTTAACAGATTGTTATCTTAGATTAAGATTTGAACCATATTTCTCAATATTCTAGTCTATGAAGTTTAAACAATAAAACAAAGATAACATCGATAATCATAAATAGATACATTATATATAATGATGTGATTAATAAACGTACATGCAATTACGATGAATTACATTCAATCTCAACAAGAGAGAAGAAATAGCCACTCATTGTCATGGTAGCTTGATACAAAATAGAAGAATAAAGATGAATGAGCATCAACAGTGATTTCCCGACGATTGATGCGTATCCAACTTGTACTCTTCAAGTTCACTCTTACTCTCTAATTATCTCTATGGTAGTTTTTGAAATCAAATGAATCCCCTTTCTATTTTTTATAGAACCTATTTACAGTGGTGTGCCCTATTGATATCGCCTAGCGAGTTGTTGCCTCACCCGACGAGTAACGTTTCTTCAATGTGATGTTTCTACCACATCGCCCTCTTAACCACCTTGTATTGCTTGACGAGAAAATGACTCTCCTATCGGGCTTTTTCATGAATTTTCTCTCTGGAAAGTTTTTGTCTGGCTTTGTATGATGTTCGCTGAAGGCTTCTCTGGGCGAGGTATCTCCCGGGTCTCGTTGGAGGCTCGCCTGGAGAGCAGAGATATTCTCTTCCTTAAGCTTGAGTGACCATATTTCCTCCTGAGCCAAAATACCTACACAAAATCATTGAAATCTATTGTGAAATTGTAAACACACTTACTATCCTAACATAACCCTAATCTTTTCAATAATTGGGAGGTTTTTCTACAAGAAACTTGCATACCAAGTCAGTAAGTGCCCTTTTTTCAATGTACAAAATTACTATATTTTGGCACTTATCAAACTCCTCTCAACTTGAACTTTGTTTGGCCTCAAATAAATGTCTAATAAAGCTTTTCAAATGTAATCTTTGCTTACCAAATTTTCAACGATCAATAATTTGAAGAAAGAAGGATGAAAATGCATGTTCAAATGTAGAATTCACATACAAGTTTCATGCTCATCACCTACATAGAATCGAAGCATGAATAGGAAATGAGCTTTCAATACAAATCTCATTCCATACATTCTAAGGCAATAACATTTCCATTCTTGAATCACGCCTAAACAATTCTTCATAAAATGGATGAAGAATTAAAATTCAATCATGAGGAATATGAACTCTCATCCAATAATCTTGCCAACATCCTGATTAATTCATGCTGTCATCTAAGCAATATTTCTGAAAACAAAAGCTTAGATCATTAAGGACTTACAAAGGTTGTAACTTACCCGACTTTCAAAAGAATGGTAATTTATAAGGATAGTTGAAACAAAAATGGCCATAGGATTTAGAAGAGAATTCACAATTATTTTTGAAATTTTTAGCATAATACTCATCCACACATAATTGCACCTTTTAATGTCAATTGTTGATCACACTCTTTTTATACGTTATTCTTTTTCATCATTCATTTCTTTCCTTTTCCTTCTATCACTCTTTCTTTTCTCAATTTCTTTCCTTTCTTTTACTTTCTTCTTATTTCATAAGTCATTCTTCCCTTTCTCCCCAGCTTGAACAAAACCTTACTCTTTTTTTCTTATGCTCTTCACTCTATAGCAAGAGACAAAAATTGTTCATGACTGTTGCAGGATTCAAAAATAACGATTTTTCAGATTCTATCATGGATTGATTATGAACTTCATAATTTTGAATGAAAGATAACAAATCCATTAAGTGGTTTACTTAGTGAAATGTTTAGTTCATAATTGATAGATTCATTTCGTTTTGGCGCAAAAATAGTTTTCAAATTCTCACTTTCTCATAGGGGAAGATAAGGATATATGTGGCTAAGTGGTTGTGCTCAAATTCACATAAATGTCCTGATATTTTCTATGCTTTCCTATTTTTCAAAATAAATGAAAGATTAAACAAAGAGTCAAACGAATTAAAGCAAATAATTATTAGTCTTCTGTATATAGTAAACAATGGGAGGCTTCCTCATTTTTTGTTTTGACCAAAGTGATTTGAGTTTTAAGACATGTTATTGCATAATAATGCATGAACTAAATTTACACAATGTACGGATTTTTAATTCATAATAACATTCTATAAAGCAATAAACATGTACCTTTGTTGTGTGAAATTCATCACAAGTATTATCATCACCATTGAATTTCATTTGATTCATTTGAAGCTTTGAGTAAGCTTTCTTTACTTCTTCAAACAATTTAGATGACCAATTTGAAAACTAACACAAAAATTAAAAGCATTGAAAACTTCAGAAATTAAAATACTTAAAATAGATAAACATACTCATTGATATATAACCACCATCTAATAATTATGGTGAAAACACCAACAAAAATTATCCCAACATAATTGGAAGGACGAGCACAAATCTAAAATAGTTTTCATAATACAACAAAAAAGGAACAGAAGCATAAATATAAATATAGTAAATGACTACAAGTTTTTTTTTTTATTTTTAATTTCACTCAATTAGTGAGAGCTTTTAGTCATCATCATATCATACTCATCATCGTGTTCTTCCTCTCTCGATCCTGAACCTGTATCTTCATTTGATCCTCTTGATGTCTCCTCTTCACCTTCTTCCCCGAATAAAATGGCTTGACCCTAGGCCATGCAATAAGAGTATGGAATTCTTCTAGAGTCTGAATCTGATGTGCTTCCTCATGTGGTTCACCTATTTGTAACTGTAACCTATGCATAGAATCATGCATAGACGTATAAGATCTATGATTAGATTCAAGTAGATCCCAAGTATTGGTGCAAGTGGTTTTCATCCTCGGATTCCAATCGCCGTATCCAAGGATTGCTGATTCAGAAGGAGTTAAAGTTTTCCCATGCAGTGCCTGGAAACATAAGTCATTAATGGTTCCAGAGATGGTCTGATTCCTTATTACTAACTTACAACAAGTAATGTATTATCTTAGATGTTTGATTTAAACTATTGACAAATATATTTATACAAAATATATACCTTATCAAAGTAAAGTCAGTACACATACTTGTCTTGGTTGATGAAGAAGAATGAAAAGATGAAAGTTGTGATGTTCAAGTGAGAGTGGGTGCTCTTCAAAAGTGAAAATGAAAGTGAAGGCTAGGGTTTTTTCCTGCTTGGATGAAAGAAAATGAGAAAGACATGGAACTTAAAGCATACTTTGGTGTTTTGAATGTCCACCGAATGCTACAGTCAAAAGTTGGACGTGGGTAGTTATTGAGTGGTAAATAGCATTAAATACATTTTTACTTATTCTGCAACACTCGCTTGCCGAGATAGGGCAAGCAAAGAGAGAGAAATGAAAAAAAAAATCTCTCCTGGCGAAGGAAATGCTCGTTGGGCGAGCATACCAGAATGTAGTTTTTCTAAAGCATTTATCAAGTAAATCTTTTATGCCCTTTATCCGCTCTTTCTAACCCTATTATGCAAGAAAACTTTAAAAACTTATAAAATTGGGTTGCCTCCCAACAAGCACTCGTTTAATATTGCTAGTTTAATGTCAGTTCTTTGAAATCATTGATCGTTTAACGGGACCGTGGTGGTAAGTCGATCAACTTCACTGCCAAGATAAAGCTTCATTCTTTGGCCATTGACGGTCCAAATTGCTTTTGACACTAGATCCTCTAATTCAAATGCACCGTAAGGTTTCACATCGATCTGAAATGGTCCTGGCCATTTGGATTTCAGCTTTTCAGAAAACAGTTTGAGTCTTGAATTAAATAACAACACCATTTTCCTATGTTTGAAATCTTTGTTAGGGATCTTCTTATCATGATAATTCTTGAATCTCTCATTGTAATGTTTGGAATACTCATAGGCTTGGAGTCTCATTTCATCTAACTCATGTAATTGTAATTTCCCCCATTCTGATTCTGATCAAAGTTCAAGAACCTCAATGTCCAATAAGTCTTGTGTTCCAATTCCACTAGAAGGTGGCAAGATTTACCATACAACATTTAGAAAGGAGTGAGATCAATTGGTGATTTATATGCTGTAAGGTAAGCCCGCAATGCTTGATCCAGATTTAAGGAGCAATCTTTCAAAGAAGTTGAAACCGTCTTTTTAAGAAACTTTTTTATTTTTCTGTTATAAACCTCTATTTGTCCATTGGTCTGTGGGTGGTATTGTTATACAACCTTATTCCTAACGCCATAGTGCTCAGGAGCTCTAGCTAATTGAGAGTTACAGAAATGTGACCCTCCATCACTAATCAATACCCTCAGAGTTCCAAAACAAGTAAGT